ATTTTGCCACTTGGACTTATATATCCCTACCCACCACAGACAGTTTCTTTGAGCTCCTGAGTTTTTTCTCAGAGAGCACACACTTTAGACACGTGGGCTTCCTCATTCCTTGTCTGATCCTTTGGTACACCTGGACGGAAAGGAATAGTGCGAAGCATAGGGATATTATTTTTTTGCCTTCTCACATTGTTTTGCAGGTACAGAGACATCTTTCACTCCTCACATCATTGGGCAGGCTCACTGCCAGAGACTGGACAGGCTGCACGCCACCACACCGCTACTTGGTAGCTCCCCATGCGCCTGTTCGGTCCCCTCGACCCAGAGCTGTCGTTTGGCTTCGACCCGACCCACCTTGGGTCAAGCTGAACACTGATGACTCTTTTGATCGCCAGACTGGAGTTGCTGGAGGAGGAGGTTTGATCCGGGACCACAGCGGCGCTCTTATCACCGCCTTCCACACGTCCCTTCAGGCCTCCTCGAGCTACGATGCAGAGATCCAGGCTCTACAGATTGGCCTTCATCTCGTTGCCCACCTCTCTAGTCACATTTGGATCGAGCTGGACGCTGCGGCGGTCGTCACCATCCTGACCTCGGGCCACCAGGGCTCGTGGCAGATTCAGCACCCGCTTATGCGCATTAGAGCTCTCCTACGGTCTGTCCATCACAGGATTAGCACATCTTCCGTAAGGGGAACAAACCTGCTGATTACCTAGCCAGCCTTGGCGCCACCACACCGGACCTTCACACGTATCAGACCGACACCACTGCCCCACTCCGTCTTCGCACGCTGGTACGGATGGACCAGCTTGGATACCCATCTTTTCGGTTTTAGTAGATTTCATTTCCCTCATCTGACCATACACTTATTCCAGGCACCTGTTAGCCCGATGACAGACCTTGTAGTATTTCCTTTCCTTTTTCTTTTCTGCTTTTGTTTTCTCTTTTGATTGTGAGACTATGTTGATTGTATTTGGTTGATATTTGAGCCTCTCTTGGGGTCTTGATCTATATACAAGTTGGGGATCCAGCCCAATCCCCCGCCCCCGAGGCGTTCCATTAAAAAAAAAAAAATCCTAGCAACATAATATAACTAACCTACCAAGAACAAAGACCTAAACTAGCACCATCAGACAACTACCCTAGCAAAAATATATAACTAACCTAGCAACAAGACACTACTAACCTAACACCAACAGATAACTAACCTAGCAGAGATATATAACTAACCTAGCACCTACAGACGAACAGAACTAACCTAGCAACAAAATGCTCTCCCCTCTCTCTAGGTTTCTCTCTCTAAAAATAACCCTTCTTCCCCAATTTGCTACCCTTTCCACCGTCCAGTTCATCAGCCCCGCCTAGCCTGACAGCCGGCCCGCCGCCGATGGCGGCGTGCCCTCGACCCCGGCCACCCTCTCCCCCTTCCCCGTTCGTTTTAACCTCAATTTCTTAGCTCCAACTATGAGCCCACTTCCTAAATTTCTGTCCTCTAAATCTTCATCGTCCATGCTTGAATCGGAGCTAGACCGGTTCTTTTCTCAACCATATGTTCGAAAAGCTCTGTTAACATTTCTCGGAAAAAACAAAAAAACAGATAAGGAAGAAGAAGATGGCCCCAGCATAGAAGAAGAAGAAGAAATAGTTGCTGCAGAGGTCCCGAAAAATATTGTCGATTCACCAGAACCAGAAACAACCGAGCTTTCAATTGCCGATTTTGGTCCGCCGATTGCCGTCGGAACCTACGGGCCATCGCCTGACGAGGACCTCGTTAATCGCCGCCCCTCACCCACTGGAAAAGTCTCAAATCAAAGAGATAGGGTTCGGTGGTTGGACCAATCCCGAGCTGAGGGATGATTGCTTGGGCCAATGCTCTCATGGGCCAATTGCTC